TAATACTCGTGATTCAGAATTTTTTCAATTGTAAAAAAATTGCATCACACGGGTATTTTGGCGAACGGAATACGGTAGTCTAAATTAAGCCCTAATTCTTACAATCCCCAGTAACAATTACTCGAAAATTGAAGTAATAATTTGGTGATTTATTTTTAAATGAATTGAATTTTTTTGAATACCTCGCATTAATGTGCAGGCTGGCATGCTGCGTAACCTACGCAGTATATTCGGAATTTAATCATCATAGGAATAAATGATTATTATAAATGAAGTAGTCACTACGGAATGTCTTTATTATGAAATGAGTTTCTTATAATGGTAGCAGAATATGCATATTTTGAGCATCTGATTTTTGGCATCAAAATTGATTTTTACAATACAAGGCTTTTCGTAACTCCGTAACGCCACAATGTTGCATTAATTGTTGATTAACAATATTAATATAGATAAATGTTGCATACACGTACAGTTATATAAACACCGTGGACTTTTGAATTTAATCTTCTCAATTTTACAAAGATGAATCCAACAAGCAACACTCGAAGCACTCAAATTTTAACTGAAAAAATCGAACTTGATAATAATTTAGATCCACATATTTTAATTAAAGAACAAATTTCTCGAAAGTTTAAAGATACGAAAGTATATGCGGTCTCAGTTGATTACGATAACACTACAGATTCTAAGAAAACAGTTCTTGAAAACCCATTTTGTTCCAATGGCTTTGCAGCAGCTATTATTCATGCCTATAATCATCATAAACATTTGCGTTTAAGCCCCGATGATGTTTGGCTTACGATTTCTCAAGGAGTTAGTCGGCATATTAATTATAATGCAGAGAAATTCCGTAACAGATTCGTTCAACATGAGGGGAAAAAAGAAATTAGAATTGGCGTTCAAGATATATTAAATGGAAGTACACTTGAAGGTAATTGGCCAGAAGCTGTAAATAGACTTGTCATAAAAACAGATAAAAATGTGGAAAAAATTGATCTAAAAGAATTATTAGAATGTGACTTTTCGACAACAACTTTAAGCTCTTTAACAGCAAGCCGTATTGTATTATTAGATATGGTTAAGGCCTATTTTAAGTACATTTGTTGTTTCGAGTGTGGAATTCCAAAAGTTACACTTGAAGGAACGCTTGAAGACTGGATGAAGCTTCAAGAAAAAGTTACGCAATTAAGAAATTTAAACTTAGAATTAGATTTTTGGTTAGATCGCCTTGAGCCTGTAGTTTGTAATTTAGTAGCAACTTATCGTGGAGAGATTAATGAAGACTTTTGGAGTAGGATTATAAAGATAAATACACCATTCGGTTCAGGAAGAACGGAACCTTATATTACTGGATGGTTGGCGAGTTTCTTTCCTTATGATTCTTCTGGAACACCTTTAAATTCTGAGCATTTAGAAGTTACATACATTCCAGATGGTTTTGTTGGAGTTCCATTTGAAACTGACATTGGACATAAATTAAAGTTTGTAGCTGGATTTATTGGCGCTAATCAAGAGATTCTTGAAGATTTTGATGGTGAATCAGTTGTTTCTCCTGTAATCGGATGGACTGTTATCAATGATGTTGATGTAAACGTTTCTTCTGATGATAAACAAGATTTCAAATTTTAATTTATTTTCGCTTTCAGAATTATGGATCTTATATAACGAATTTTATTTCTTATTTTTATTTTCTATTTTTTATCTTTTTTTTTTATTTACGTGTATCAAGAATTCAAATATCGTATCTTTAAAATATTACATGTATTATTGTTATTGAAATATTTACTATCGCCTAGGACATCTCAAGCTTTCTAAAATATTTTTTAAAAAATAAATTATACATATCAAAGATAATAATATTATGTGTTTTGGTGATATTGCATGTCAAATTAATATTTTTCAAAATTAAAACATGAGAATTATTTCAAATCGATCTTGTTTACCTGACAGAGTGAACCGTTGTTTAATGTTTGAAATTTTGTGATCAACAAATGTCGTTTTAGTGCCAAAGCAAGAAACCAAAAAAATGGCTACAATATTATAAATTGTGTAGTATATTTTCATCCAGAATTTAAGAAAACCTTGATATCCAATTATTTTTGATCTTTTCCAAGCTACCGATTGGGACCTTAGAAAACTTATTGAAAGAACTTTAAACGTGTTAAACGCTCATTGATTATTTACTTATTTTGTAATAATTTAAAGAATGAAATAGTGTAGCAATATTAATTTAATTCTGAGATTTTCGCACCTAAACAAGATGAGCTATTCATTAAATGCCAGAAAATACTTAACTAGTTCGACAATGATCGTTACCAAATTATAGATCTGGTTTGGAAAATCATAACTTATCACAGTAACAATAACGATAACGATAACCATAAGCAAGAGTTTAATTTTTCGTTTATAAAAAATCGATTAGTATGCTACACAAATTCGTGATACAATCAATTATTATACCTGTAAACTAAGGCAAACTAATAAATTTCCTTTAAACAAATATAATTTAGCAAATTTAAATTATATTTTGTAAAAAATTTTTATTAAATTTGATCAAGTTTTGGTTGAGATATTCTTGTTTAAAAATTTATATAGAAAAAATATGACACATTTATACTGACTCACTCCTATATCTCAAAAACATACAAAGTAACTAAAGTTAGGAGTTCCAAATAAAAATATTCAGAACCCCAAAACCTTATGCGTAACAAATTTGAACCTTTATATTAAATTTTATTATGTTATATAAACTTCTATTTCATATTAAAATTGTATTCTAACCCTAAAAAAAATAGAGGTTGTTAAATCACCCTGGTTAAAAATAGTTAGGAACTATCCTATAATACTTAAACAAAAGAATAAAAAACAAATATTCGTTAAATATCATCTGGAATTTCTATACCAACAGATCCACTAAGATTTAGTTTTGATAATCTTTTAATTATTGTAAAATTTTCGTTAATATTATCACTTTCCAAAAACTGCTTTTTAATTTCATTTTCCGAATTTATATTCGAAATTTTCAACAATTTTTTTAGTTTAGTAATAATATTTAAAAACTGCATTTTAATTTCATTTTCAGAATTTTCATTCAAAATTTCCAACCATTCATTTAATTTAGTAATAATCGTTAGTAGTTGGCCGTTTTTCTGGATTAGAATCCATGCATCAATTTGCTAATTTAACATAACAATTAGGAGTTCCAATTCCAGATTTTGGTCGCAATCCTTCACAAATCATAATCACAAGATCTTGATCAAATTTATGACTATCAAAAGGTCTCTGTCCAGTTGTCATTTCTACCATGATGATTCCAAATGAATAAATATCTATTGCTTGAGTGTACGGTTTTCTTTGAAAAAGTTCTGGAGCAATGTAAGGCAAGATACCATTAATATGATCTTCTTGTTCTATTTCATCAAATTGTTTCGTTGAACCTAGATCAATAATATATGCTTCGTAATCCTCTTTTGACAAGATATTTCCCGGATGTAAATCTCGATGTAAATATCTTGCAGAATGAATACGATCAAGATCATTTATGATATCATAAAGTATTTTTAATTTGATTTTCCAATCGAATTTAAAGATATCAACTAAATTTTTGCTTAATGAACCATATTTTGTGTAGCTCGTTACTAAAATATAATCGTTCGTTTTTTCGTCTCTTGATATTCCTAGATATTTTCCTAAGCTATGACAAGCTTTTAACTAAAAAAAAAATAATAAATAATTATATTTAAATTATTTAGATAAAAACAAATAATAAAAAATACCTCTTTTAAGAATGGCTCTTTATTCTTATTAGAATCTTTTACGATCTTGATTGCTACATCTTCATATGACCCAGATTGATTTGAATATCTTGTTCTAAAAACTGTAGAAAATGCTCCTGAGCCTATTTCTAAGATATTTTCAAAGTTATCATATGGCATCCAATGAAAAAATTCTTTTTTATTGCTAGTATTACTAACTTGTGCAGTGATATCAGATTTAAAATACCACTCGAAAGCAATACAGTCATACCTCTTTATAATCACCTCCTTTATAATCACAACCTCTATACAATCACACTAAATAATGTCCCCAACTTTTTAAATAATAAATTCTCTCTTTATAATAGCAATGTATATATAATCACTATCACACATTTTTATGTAACTGAATATTAAATACATATAGTAATTTTACCTTTTTATAATCACAAATCATGCATGTTTTAATGCCCTAAATCAATATTACCAATCAAAATTTAGGATATAATATATAAATATACTATATGTGTCCGAAAATAGGCAACTACCTAAAATAAACTACCCATAATTGAAAATAGTAAAGACCAAATTTTACTAAGCAAATTAATTATCATTGCTTATTTAAACTATTAAGGAGAACAAAATACATATACTATATAATTTTTAGCAAGATTGAAGAATATTTTATTATTTGACTTTTAATTTTTATGTTTGACAAAAAAATTAAAATTTGTTAAAAAAATATATTTGACTAACATAAAAATTAAAAGTTAAATAATATAAAGTTCTTCAATTTGTATGAAAATTTCAGAGAATATGCATTCTGATCTCTTAAACATATTTACTTAAGCGCTTATAATCAATTTATATAGTAAAATTTGGACTTTAATATGTAGTGACTAAATAGATAAATATAGTACTGCATTAAAAATATTTTACTTATAATCACACCTTTATATAATCACGAATTTTGCTTCGCCCAAAAGTGTGATTATAAAGAGGTATGACTGTATCTATATCCTTTTCAACAAAAACTCCGTTTTGGTAATATTCACCAACATAATACATTCCATCAGGATATCCCATCTCTGCTGATTTTTTATAGTATTCAAATGCCTTATGGTTATCCTTTTCAACTCCTATTCCTTCGTAATAACAAAGTCCAACATTATACATTCCATTAGCATACCCCATATCTGCGGATTTTTTATAGTATTCGAATGCCTTACGATTATCTTTTTTAACTCCTATTCCTTCGTAATAACAAAGTCCAACATTATACTTTCCATTAGTATACCCCATATCTTCGGATTTTTGAAAATATTCGAATGCCTTATGATTATCTTTTTTAACTCCTATTCCTTCGTAATAACAAAGACCAACATTATACATTCCATAAGCATACCTCATATCTGCGGATCTTTTATAGTATTCGAATGCCTTATGATTATCTTTTTTAACTCCTATTCCTTCGTAATAACAAAGTCCAATATTATAAATTCCATAAGCATGCCCCATATTTGAAAATATTCGAATGTCATTTTTTCATCTTTTTTAACTCCTATTCCTTTGTAATAACAAAGCCTAATTCCAATAAGATGCCCCAAATCTGCTGATTTTCTATAGTATTCGAATGCCTTACTATTATTTTTTTCAACTCCTATTCCTTCGTCATAACAAAGTCCAACAATACACATTACATCTGCTAATTTTTTATAGTATTCGAATGACATTACATCTGCTAATTTTTCATAGTATTCGAATGCCTTATAACAAAGTCCAACATTATATATTCCATTAGTATACCCCACATCTTCGGATTTTTGAAAATATTCGACTGCCTTCTTTTCATCCTTTTCAATCCCGATTCCATTATAATAACAATACCCAACTTTAAATATTCCATCTATATTCCCCATATATGCGGATTTTTGAAAATATTCGAATGCCATATGTTTATCCGTTTCAACTCCTGTTCCTTTGTAACAACAAAATCCAACACTATAAATTCCATCAGCGTGCCATAATTCTGCTGATTTTCGAAAATTTACAAATGCCTTCTTTTCATCCTTTTCAACCCCGATTCCATTAAAATAACAATGCCCAACTCTAAATATTCTATCAATATTTCCCATGTTAGCAGATTTTTGATAATAACTGAATGCTCTACATTCATCTTTTTTAACTCCTATTCCACATTGATAACAATATCCAACGTTACGTATTCCAAGAGCATCCCCCATATCTGCAGATTTCTGATAATACGTGAATGCCATACATTCATCCTTTTCAACTTCCAATTCCATTTCGATAACAATAACCAACCTGAAATAATCCATCAGCGTCACCCACTTCAGCGGCTTTAAGGTACAATTCAAAAGCTTTCTTTTCATCCTTCTCAACACCAATACCCTTACGATAATTATAAGCAATATTATGAAGTTCTAAAAGTGTAAATTGATCCATATTGGTTTTTTATCAAACTATAAACTTTATTAAATAATGAAATACGATTGCACAATTATTGTCCAGGCATAGCGAAAAACTAAATTCAGTACTACAGTACTGAAATACTGGAATCTGATCATTTGACAACCTAACTGCATATTCTTGCATATTTGTGTAACTTATCTGGTTGTTATACAAATTACACAACGTATAGCGAGAAATTTATAATAGAAGAACCGTCCATGTTAACAAATTTTAAATGTTTATTAACCAACAAGGAAGACATTACTGAGGGAATTGTTTATACGATACATATTAGTGATAGTCCAGGGCGTGTAGTGCAGTGACGTAATCATGGCATAGCCAGAAAAAAATTATTCAAAATTCTACCAGTGAAACCACAGATGCCCACTATTAAAAATTTTT